TGTTATATTAGTGATAGTTCCATCTAATTTTTGTGCTACTAGAGGTAAACATTCTGATCTTGTTTCAATGTTATCTCTACTTCTATCCCTGATGTCTAGCAAATCTCTGGGAGTATTACGGAGCACAACATACCAACCGTCATCCATTGGATCCTGACAGTAAAATACTTGTTTTACTTGAGAAGAAAATACATATGGTTCATCCATCAATCGTTAACCAATGTGAATTAATCGAGAAAAATTCACTATTGTAAACCTGAATTTATCCTTTTTATGCATCTGTTTACATCAACCCAGTCACACCGAAACAACACAATCTTTCGTTTTCCATAATAATCTAACTCAATAATGTCCGTAAGAATTCCATAATAATCAACATCTCTCTCATGCGGATTATTGTCCCTGACACTAGCATAACTGGTAGTTGAAGAAGTAACTACGGTTCCACAATTTTGTGTCCTCCTTAATCTTTCACGAGATGTCATGTGGAACCTGAACCCATTAATGAGGAAGGAGTTATATCTTTTAACTATTCTATTCAGACCTTGATAAAGCCATTTAACATCTTCACTAACTTCTCTCCCACTCCAAACCTATTACACATGAATGATGCATATATAAGGGTTGATTTCTATATAAAAAGAAAGAGATATATTATGTATAAGTATGTGGAATGATTTAGTTGCTTATTGTCTGCCCTAACCATTCATGAAAAGCTTTTGTGAATAACTTTTGTATCTCTCACTGATGTAATCTTCGGTAGCGTGCACGAGATCTCAAGACTTCTTTAAACTCACTGTAAAGTAGATTATGTCGTTAAAGAATGATAAATATAAAAGATTAAGAAATTTCATTATTATTCGGTCCGAAAAACTTAAGTGCGAAAGGGATCTATTGAATTGTGATGGAAAAGAACATATCGGTGTGCTTGTACCCAAGACATGTCATCTAAGTGTGCAATTTCAACTTTCCCAAGTGGTTGACCATAACTTCCAAACAAATATTCTTGAGGTAAGTCATTAGTACTGAACACATCATTTCTATTTGGTCTATTCCATCTTGTTTCAACATCTTCCAAATATCTAGAGTAAAATGTCATACATTCCTCTACCAAATACCCTTCAGCAATTGATCTTTCCTGATAACGCTTATTACTGTGTTTTAAAAAGCGCGCCTGAGGCGCTTTGAGGCGCTAGGCGAGGCGTTTAGAAAAAAGCCTCCGACCACCAAGGCGGCGGCGAGTACATGAGGCGGCGATTCAGTTGTCGGAGGCGGCGAGAGGCGACGAGGCGACGAGGCGATGCTTTTAGCGATTCACGTACAATGACCCATTTTTAAATTTTGGGTCTGGGCTCGATTTTCTTCCAACAGTCAGACCTTTTAAATTCCAATTACTTCATTAATGTATTCCTGGAACTTTGAACTGTCTCTTGACCTTCTAACGTCCAATTTTTTAATTACTGTATGTCTATAAATCATGATCCAAGCTCTCTAGTTTCTCCGATGCATACCCTGGAGCTTCTTTTCCCTCCTAAAATTTTCTCTCCCTCCTCCATTCATGCTTAATTCAGTGATTGTTCTACGTTGAAGTTGAAAGCAGACTCATTTCTCAGTTTTTCCTATCTCCTTTCTCGATTTTCTCCATTAAGGTAAGTCTTAATTTTAAAATTTGTATCACTGTAGTGTATGTACTTGGTGTTTTTGCTATGCTACTTGGTGTTTTTTCTTATTAAGTTGTTTTGTGTTTGAGGTATGGTTATAAAATATTTTTGCTTATTAAGTTGTTTTGTGTTTGAGGTATGGTTATAAAATATTTACAAATGTTTTGTAAAATTAAGCGCCTCGCGTACGTGAATCTCTCGTCTCAAAGCGCCTCAAAAAATTGAGGCTCTCGGGTAGCTAATCGCCTTGGAGCGCCTCACACCTTTTAAAACACAGACTAATTACAACAGTAAGACTTCAACTTGCCCAAGAACCTATACAGAAAACAACGTACATTGTAAATACATTTAATTAAAAGGTATAATCAGTAGTCATTTGAAACGTATAATTCAATTAGTACCTCTCTATAGGGTACATCCATCGATAGAAAACTGGTCCACTAACTCTTTCTTCGTGAGGAAGATGAATTAGCAGATGCACCATAATTGTGAAGAATGAAGGCCAAAATATCTTCTCCAAGTTGCATAAAGTCAAGGCAGCTCGATCTTGTAGTTTATCAAGTTCTTCAACCATCAGAACTTTCCCACAGATGGCTTTCATTATATTGGAAAGTTCAATGATACAAGACGTCACCTTACTCGACATGAAACCACGTACAACTACTGGCAGTAAATCTTGCATTAATATATGATAATCATGTGACTTTAAAGAATAAAGTCTTCGATCTTTAACACTGACACATCGAGATATATTTGATGCATACCCATCTGGGACTTTTATATCCTTCAAGACCATGCAAAACACTTCTTTTTCTTTCTTCGAAAGAGAAAAGATAGAAGGCGACAAGAAATATTTTCCATTAGGATGTACATGCGGATGAAGGTCATGCCGAATTCCCATGTCGACTAAGTCAAGTTGACTCTTGAGATTATCTTTAGATTTTCTGCCATCATTAAGAATGGTCCCGATAATATTCTCACAAACATTCTTCTCAATATGCATTACATCAAGATTATGTCTCAAAATCTGATTCTTCCAATAAGGTAACTTGAAGAATATACTCCTCTTTTTCCACAAGTCTTCCTTATTTGGATCATCCTCTTCATCAGATGCATCATCACTCTGTTGGTCAACATCCACTTCTTCATTCACATGATTTGCCTTTTTCTTTGATTGTGCATTAGTTGGTTGATTCATCTTTCCATAAGTAAAATTGATATTTTTCAGCATGGAGAATATAGTAGACCCGGTTGTTAGGTCAGGAGCATTTCGAAACTCTTCATCACCATCAAACATATTCTTTTTACATCTAAATCTATGATTATCAGGTAACCATCGACGATGTCCCATATAAGAGAACTTTCCATTAATCAATCACTTCGAACATGTTTGTGCAGCACAATAAGGACAAGCATAACGACCTTTGATACTCCAATCAGATAAATTTGCATAATCAAAAAAATCATTAATTATCCATAATAAAGTCACACGTAAATTAAAATTCTCATTCTTCAACACATCATATGTTTCGTCCCCTTCCCGTAACATTTTCAACTCTTCAATTAGCGACTACATGTAAATATCAATATCATTTTCGGGGCCTTTCTTGCCATGGATTATCATGGATAAGATGAAAGATGATTGTTTCATGCAAATCCACAGAGGTAAATTGTATGGAACAAGTATAATAAGCCAAGTACTATTCGAAGTACTCATGATTTTGAGTGGATTAAACCCATCAGTTGCAAGATCGAGCTTGACATTTCGAGGATCTCTCGCAAAACTTGGATATTTGTAGTCAAATGACTTCCAAGATAAATAATCAGCAGGATGCCGTAATAATTCATCATTGGTTCTATCATCATGATGCCACCTCATAGACTCAGCAGTCTTGGAGGACATAAACAATCTTTGTAGCCTAGGTATGAGAGGAAAATATCGCAGAATCTTTACCGGTTTCTTTCTTGATCGTTCTTGAGCTTCATCCTCAGTAACATTTTATGCGTCCCAAGTCATCCATCGAGATTTTCCACATACATGACAAGACTCATGGTTTTTTCGATCACCCCAATACAATATACAATCATTCGGACAACTATGAATTTTGTCATATCCAAGACCCAAAACTTTAATCATTTTCTTCATATATTTGCATGATTGAGGGATTTTTGCAAAAGGAAACACTTCTCCTAGTAACTCCAACAATTGCGTAAAAGAGTTACCAGTCCACCCTCCCAAGCATTTTAAGTGGAAAAGACGAATGCAGAAAGAAAGCTTTGAAAATGTTGATCCATCATAAAGTTGTTCATTCATTTCATTCAGCAACTTGTAAAACTTTGACACTTCTCCATTTGGCTCTTCATCACATCCATTTCTTCCCATCTCAATGAAATCATTAACATCATTGTCACAATAATTTTCTGTAACATACTGATGATGATTATGCATATTAAATGCATCTTATAACATCCCTTCCATGTCATCTTCTCTAACAATTGGATGGTGAGAAGGAGCATGATAATTCGAATAACTCGTGGAAGAAGATGCTCCTGATATAAACTCTCCATGAAATATCCATTTTCTATACCCCGAACAAATCCAAAAACAACTAGATGCTCGTACACAACTTCACGAATGTGCCAATTAATGTTAACACATTTCTTACAAGGGAAAAGAATCATATTCTCTTGGCTTGCATTCATAAAAGCTAAATTTAGAAAGTTTTCGACTCCATTTCGATATTCGATGCTTACCCTTGAGAAATCCATACAACTCTTATCCATTTCGTATTTCTGGAGTTTCAATTTCAAATGTTAAATGCTAATATTATAGAGAAAGTTAGAACCTAAACATAAGCATTAAAATATCATATTTAGTGCATAATAATATTTTCATAGTATAGAACTAATCACGCCTAAATTATAAAACATTTAAATTGATAAAATTTTATGGGAGCAAGTTTATCTATGTTATTTACAACGAAGTAACAACGAAGTCAAAGATTGAACCTCAAAAAGGAATGCAATATACCTGAATAGGAAAGAGTGAACCTCAAAAAGGAATGCAATATATTATTTACTGGCTACATAAAAGAACAAGGCTAGATAAGTAAAACAAATTAAACGAACAAAAAAGAACAGCCACAGTACATGGTAATATTCCAACCCTTCAAAACTCACAAAAATAACTAAAGAACAGAACAATGTTAAAGTGCTACTTTTATTTAATTTTCATGTTAACAACTTTACACTAAACTGGAGAAGGCCAGAAAACATTTTCAACTGCATCTAAATTACCATCATTATGCTAATGAGGAAAATATGTGCTATTTCCAAAGTTCAGTAGTTAGAGAAGGGATCAAAGCGTGGATCTTGGAGTGAAGAATCAGTGGCTGAACTGCCACAGACAGTTAAGCATAAGATAACTGATGAGATCCTACAGAGATTGAGAAGTTTGAAACCAAATATCACTGACAGCGAGAAGCAAGGTTAGTGTCTTAGTTTCCTTCTAATTTTCACTGTTTGTTTCTTTATATTACAGTTTAAAATTGTTGTATTTCTATAAATTTTTTTTATCAGATTGAACATTTATGATATATCCTTTTCAGGAGTTTTATGTTTTAGTTTCAATTTTCAAATATTAAAAACTTTTTGTGATCTGGAAACTGCAAAGATTACAAGTTAATAAATACTTCTCAATGAATAAGTCATTATTAAACTGCATTATTATAATTGAAACTTTTAGGTGTGTAATTACCTAGTTTAGTATGCAAGGGACAAGAAATGCATTAAATACATTGCAGTTTTTGAGGATGAAAAACATGCTTACTTCATACTACAGCTTGGCGTTTGAACTTTGAATCAAAGGGGAGTGTTGGAGAATGATTCAAAGTCATCCTATTTTTAGTATTGACTGTTGTGGTTCCTTGTTTTTCTGATTTTCTTGTTGTTTACGTGCACTAGGGGTAATGTTAAAGAATGAGAAGAATGGAGTGGTTCTGGAGTTGGAGGATAACTGCTGCTAAAGATTACATGAATAAGAGCATAATTTACATAAAACAGAAGGATTTAGATGTAAACTGCTGTCGAAAGAAGACTAGAGGAAACAGAACCCTAACAACTGGTACATGACAAACATAATAATTGTACCTTATGGAATTTGAAGATCAAGTCCAACCCACAGACCTGGATATAAATTAATTCACAATCAGATAAAACATACTGCAATATAAATAATTCAAATAACAGTCGATTTTAAGTTCACTCACACTGCCAAAGTATCGATCAAGTATCTCAACAAAATGATGAATGATTTCTAGAACCTTTATTTCATTGTCATCCTGGTCAATGCAGATGCAGAAGTAAATACCAGCATATCTGCAAAATTTATCCCAACTCAGTTGATAAATCTTTGAAATGGTAAAATAGATTACTCATAAAATGATACTCACTAACAGATAGTAGTATTACCTTTTGTAAAAAACTTTAAACCCTCTCCAATCCAGAAAATTACAGAGTTTAGGCCCCCTAGAGAGAATCACTCCACCGAGCTCACGGATAACCTTTTCAGAATGCATTTCATAAAGCATTAATATAATGAAGGCAAGACCGACATAAAAAAAACACCGATAAAGTACTAAAGATAAAGAAAAATGCACCAGAATCTTATAATTATAAAGTATTTTTTCCTTTATGTGCAAACTTTATAAATCTAATCAATGTTGTTAATCATATATGCTAGTCACACCCAAAAATAATGTGCAAACTTTATAAATCTAATCAATGTTGTCCACCACTTCACGAGCCTCTAAAGTAAGTTTTCAACGAAGAAAAATTAAACTTACCCAAAAAAGATGAAATCAAATTGGTGTAAAAGTAATGGCTCCGATATGTGAAGCAAAATAGGCTTATTTTATGGTTACAAGATCCATTGTGCACGATAAAAATTTTCGATCATTTGGTTACAAGAAAAAAATTTCGATACTATTTTTATTTCTTAACATCTAGAGACAGTAGAATCTTCAGCAAGTATTATTTTCAGATAAATAAAATCAAAGTTCCGAAAAAGAAAAGAAATATGTGAAGCAAACGCATGCTTCGTCGTCCTGAAAAAGGTAAATGAGATCTTTGGGTTTCATTCGTCTGGGTTCTAATGGTTCAGGTGAGACGCTGGATCCAGGTGCGTGAATGGTGGCCACTGGAAGCCCGATTGGTTGAAAATGATGTGAGTGAGCACATACAACTGATGGAGGCTAGATGGAGATGAAGAGATTAGGGCGCGGGCAATTGAAAAACATTTGGGGTTTTTATACAACTTTGTGACGTTTGTAAACCAAACGCCTATATAGTGCTACTCAAAAGTAGCGTTTACTAAAAAAAGTCACTACTGTCCAAGCCTATAGCGGTGTTTTTCTAAAAACGCCTCTATAGTGCTACTCTATCGTGGCGTTTACAGAAAATGCCACAAAATTCATGGTCTTTTGCGGCGTTTGTACACAAACGCCACTGAAGTATTACTATTTTGAGGTGTTTTATAAAAAACGCCGCTAAAGTTCAACTATTTTGCGGCGTTTGTTGAAAAAAATGCCACTATAGATTACACCTATTGTAGCGTTTGTATAAAAAACGCCGCTAACGTAATATTTCTATATCGGCGTTTGTTGTAAACGCCACTATAGATTAACCTATTGCGGCCTTTATGGAGAAAAACGCCACAAAATTTCATATCTATATCGGCCTTTTTTTATACAAACGCCACTAATTACCTTTGTTTAGATAAGATTAATTGATTTTAAATATTTCAGTTCTGTTGTACATAAACTAAATTTACTATCATTTAGGTTTATCTAACTAACAAGTTATGCAAAAAAAAACTTAACAACAAAATAAATTATAATTTATAAACATTAAAATTATAGCATAACTTGTAGTTTGACATTGTTCGCCATAATTTAGTTTAGGTTCTTTCACTTGTACATACAAAAATATTGTTCACTAGAATTTAGTCTTCATTGCTCCTTCGTGAGGAAAGGAAGTAAAAAAGCAGTTTTCCTTGTTTTACTGAGCATCGTTAAGTTTTTCCTCTGTGCAAACTGTATATGGAGAAACTCTTCATCCATTTCAACAAATAAATCCCCTACCTCCGATTCACCAAGAAGACTCATTGCGTGCTTCACTTGAAACATATAACGACCTTCCACCTACAGTATGAAACTTGATTGGAGGTGACTTGGGAACTAAATCAAACATTAAAAAAATTAAAATAAAAGAGAGAAATGTTTACTTAGAGTAACAGTAGAGGCAACGTCGTCTTCACCGAGGATGGATAATGCTTTTGCAATTAAAGATTCTTTCAACTCCACAAATTTCCCCAATTCGGTTCTAAACATCGGGTATTTTTCCACTCCTTTATAATCGTTCTCAATAAGCTTCGAACATCCTACATGCGTATGATCTATGAAATTTCAGACTACAAATTAAAAATATAGAGGTAGAAAGATTCAGAGATTATTTCCTTGAAGAAGGAGATCGGCCATGGAAGGGTTTGGAGAAATAGGAGTTCCTTTCGAGTCATCCTCGAGTTTCAGCGGCAAGAACGGACCGGAAGCCTCCCAATGATAATTTGATCCATCGTCAGAGCAAATACGCCACGTGGACATTCCGACGATAATTTCTATTACTCTATCTTTTTGTAATATGCAAAATGAGGCTACGACTATTGTCAGAAACATAGCTCCAGGAAAGTTCAAACAAAATACGCTAGACAACTGTGAGAGTCATTTATCTTTCTTGGATAACCAAACCAATACTATTACAATTATCAATGCATGTCTCCTTCATACACAGACCTCGCATATATCCGGATTTCGTCCTCTCATTATCAGGTGAGAAGGTCGAAACTATTCTATATAATTATTTTTATAGATAGTTTTCATGATTTTATATATGTAAATTCATTCCCTCAAAACAAAATTCCCATTTAAGTGAAAAGGAAAAGAAACATTCCCTCAAAACAAAATTCCCATTTAAAACTCATCCTCTTACATTCACATCTAACCCCTATAGACTCGGCCACAAACCTGACTCCCTAATATAACCAAAAGCAATCAATTGAAAAAAACCTGACTCTCAAATACGTTAGCTTTCTTGGTTTTCCCCATTTGCAGAATACCAACATTTAGAAGAAAAAAAAAGTTCAGTAGTGAGAGAATGGATCAAACCGTGCAATTGTGTTATAGTTCGCCGGTGAGAGGGCCGATTTGGTCGCCGGGACATACAGAATCTTGGAATCATTTGAGGGTCGTTGTTCTACCAGAGAAGAAGCTTTTAGGGAATAAAAGTTGAAATGATTTTAGGGATCGAGCAGGAGAAAAGGGTGGAGCATATATTTATGTTATGGCGGTGTTTTTAGAAAAACACCACTATATCATATGTTTTTGCAGCGTTTTTATAACAAACGCCACTATTGATCAATTCTATTGTGGCATTTTTCTAAAAATGCAACTACAATTCTCTTTATCACGACGTTGTTTTGGAAAAACACCATTATAAACTAAAACTATTGCATCGTTTGTATAAAAATGCCGCTAAATAACTCTTTATCGTGGTGTTTGTTGGAAAAACGCAACTATAAACAAACCTTATTGCAACATTTATGCTAAAAATACCATTAAATTAGTATTCTATAGCAGCGTTTGTTAAAGAAACGACGCTAAAGTTTCATTTTGTGGCGTATTGATTGTAAATGCCGTTATATGTTTACATTTTGTGGCGTTTACTCTCCAATTGCTGCTAAAAACACCGCTACAAAACAGTTTTGCTGCATTCTCAAGGTATATGTGATTGTTTGTGTTTTGTTTTGCAACCAACATGCCACATTGATATCCCGAACTCTTTATTACACCACAGAGCTCCTTCTGAGGTATATAAAAAGAAGCAGGCTAACCAGACAACAAGAGCTGTGAAATTTTAGGAGTTCTGCTAATACATTTATCCTGACTTGATTTCAAGAAAAAATTTATCAGTGGATCTGGAGACAACAAGAGGGAGGATCAAGAGTAACAACATTGGATATCCTTAGTTACCTACAGGTTTGTTCTTCTTTGAATATTTTTAAATCTTTACTCTATGAGTGTGTGTAAGCTAATGTCGTTTTAGTTTTAATGTATCTCATGAATATTTGATCTAAGTCTTCATCTTAAGGTTGAATGAAATATCCCTTTCTCTTGGTTGTTTTTTAATGATATAACTCTTCCTCCTTTCTCCTTAATTAAGGGTAAATCATTACTCTCCTTAATTCTTAAGGTGGCTAGGAATGCTTTTGTGTACTGCATTTAGGATGAAAGAATTAGAAGGAAGTTTAGGGGTGTAAATAAAGGGCACCAGGAGATTCTTAATATTATTGGTGAGATTATAAAGATTAAAACTGCACATAGATATATAGATATGAATGATGATGTGAATAGGGATTTATGTATGAGATGTGGTATTCTTTGTAGGGTCGCGACTTTTGTTTTTGTTGTTTTTACTTGTGTAATGTAACAATTCCTACTTCTTTTTTTTGGTTAGATACAAACACACTTAAACAAAAAAAAACTATTTAATTATAAAAAACTATTATCAAATATTTTCAAAATTTTATATATCGAATTTCATTTAATCATTTGAAATTGATATTTCAGAAAATACAAAATGGATAAGAGATGGATGGATTTGTCAAGGGTAAGCGAGGAATATCGAAATGGTTGTATATCTAACGATGAGGTATTATTGATTATTCACATAGTGATTTACAGTTTGTAGCACATTGTAACGAAAATTATTTATATATTATTAATTATTTTTTTTGCAAGACTTAATTTTTATTCTACATTATAAGAAAATACGTCTGGTTGTAAAGTTGGACGAATAAAGCTCTTCGAAATGACATATACAAAAAGGATGACACTCCTATGACTGATGAAGCAATAGAAATTATGGTACATTTATTGGACACAAGATTTGAATTATGTTATATTTATATTTACAGTATGCCATTCTTATTTAAAATAATTATTGAATTGATTATTAGGAAAATTTGAGGGATAAAAGGGCGGAGTATGAAGCTACGACTTCAAGTCATGGTATTGTTAATGCAGATGACATCAAAAATCAAGTTATTAATGAAGTTTTAGGTCCTGAAAGATATGGCCGGGTTCGCTGTCAAGGATCATTCGTTATTCCAACCAAATATTTTGGATCCAGTTCATCTCAGTACATGTCATCACAGAGTCAGTCTTCCCAATTAGAAGTTAGTATTTTAAAACAACAGTTGGTTGAAATGTATCAAAAAGTTGCTCAAATAAAAGCCGAAAATGAAGAGAGTGAAGCAGAGAGAGAAGAAACATATCAGCAAAAATGTCAAGACTTTGAAAATCGACTTGAAGCTAGATGCAGATGATACGAAAAAATCAACCTCAAAGTCCACCATCTTAGATGTTATTTTAGATATATGCTTTGTTTATTCTAGTTAAAAATGTTGAACTACATTATATTTTACGTTAATGTAAACTTTGATTTATTATTATGGAGTTCAAGT